AAAAAAAAAAAATTAGCTGGGCACAGTGACAGGTGCCTGTAGTCCCAACTATGTAGGAGGCTGAGGCAGAAGAATCACTTGAATCTGGGAGACAGAGGTTGAGGTTGCAGTGAGCTGAGATGGCACCACTGCCTGGGCAACAGAGCAAGACTCCGTCTCAAAAAAAACAAAACAAAAAGCAAAAAACACTGGCTTAAAACAACTATTTTATGTGCTTATAATTCTGTGGGTCAGCATTTTGGGTTAGGCTCTGCTGGGTAGTTCTGCTGGTCCTGCCTGGGGTCATTCATGTGACTGCAGGTATCTGGAGGTTTGACTGTGGCTGGCTGGCCTCACTTGCATAGCTGGTGGTTGAAGCCGGCTCTTGGCTGGCTTTCTCTCCATATGGTCTCATCTACCCTCAGGGAGGCTAGCCCTGGCTTCTATGCATGGCTGCAGCAGTGTCCCAGGAGGGAAAGAAAGGCAGCTGCACAAGGCCTAGGCCTGGATGATGCACATCACTTATGCCACATTCTATTGGTCAAAACAAAGGGGGTGGAATCTGATTCCAAACCTCTGAAACAATGCAGAGGCTAATGCAATGATTCTCAAAGTAGGATCTAGGGATTCTTAGGTGTTCCTGAGATCCTCGAAAAGGGACCTGTGAAGTTAAAACGATTTGTCATACTACTGTCATACTACTGTCCTTTCAACTCCAGTGTAGAATGGAGTTTTCCCAAGATGTAATATATGTGATACTGCAATAGATTGAAGAAGCAGATATGAAAATCTGCCTCCTATGAAGCCAGACATGAAAGACATTTGCAGAAATGTAAAACCATTGTCATACTTTTTTGCTTTGGAGAATTTTTTATTTTTAGACAGGGTCTTGCTCTGTTGCCCAGGCTGGACTGCAGTGGTGCGATCATAGCTCACTGAAGACTTGAACTCCCAGGCTCAAGCCATTCTCCCACCTCAGCCTCCCAAGTAGCCAGAACCACAGGTACATGCCACCAGGCTGGGCTTTTTTGTGTTTTTGAGATGGAGTTTTGCTCTTGTTGCCCAGGCTGGAGTGCACACATTACAGGAGTGAGCCACTGTGCCTGGCCCAAGTTTTTAATAAAAATGTTTATATAAACATAACATGTCATTTTAAAATATTCTAGTAACATTAACAGCTTTTTTTTGAGACAGTCTTGCTCTGTCACCCAGGCTGGAGTGCAGTGGTGTGATGTCAGCTTACCGCAACCTCTGCCTCCCAAGTAGCTGGGATTACAGACACCTGCCACCACGTCCAGCTAAATTTTTTTTTTTTTTGTATTTTTAGTAGAGACGGGGTTTCACCATGTTGGCCAGGCTGGTCTCAAAATCCTGACCTCAGTTCATCAGCCCGCTTCAGCTTCCCAAAGTGCTGAGACTACAGGTTGAGCCATGGCACCTGGCCTTTTTTCACTTTTTCTGGACAGTGTCACTGTTGCCCAGGATGCCGTGCAGTGGTGAAATCACAGGTCACCACAGCCTGGACCTCCTAGGCTCAAGCGATCCTCCTGGTCCCACCTCCCAAAATGTGGGGGTTACAGGTGGAAGTCAGCACACCCAGCCCATTTTTCACTTTCCCATCGGCAGAAATCCAAGTTTGATAACCCACCTATGAGAAGACGGGTACTCTTGTACATTATCAGAACAAATAAACTGGTCTAACACTTGGGAGAGTGGGAGAAACTGCCAAAATTAAAATGCACAAACCTGGCAGGGTGCGGTGGCTTATGCCTATAATCCCAATACCTTCAGAGGTCTAGGCAGGAGAATAAGCTAAAGACCAAGAGTTAAACTAGCCCAGGCAATAGGAATTGGGGCCGTAATACGTGATAAATGTACCCATGAACTTCCACTGCACGGGCCTGGGAAACAGAACACGGCCTCATAATTATTGGGGAGGAGTTGTGAATTGAGCACACGAGGGAGAAATGGGACTTTGTTGTCTGAGTAGTCAGCAGTTATTCTCTTCTCTCATCCATGTAGTTTAGCACTGACTTCTTCAGGGCCGAGTGGGAAAATGCCACCACCTTACCTTGGTAGAAGGTGGATGACAAAGTTATTAGCCAGGCACCAAGAATGAATCTAAAGCCAAGAACACCAACGCAAAGCCAACAAGCAAGCTCTCCTGTAGACACCACTCCCTTCCAATTCCATTCTCTACAAAGGAAATCCCCAGGTGACCTGGCATGATCAAACTACACCTTTAGGCAGTAAGAATTTTTTTAAAAAACCAAAAATTTACAAGAGACACAAACAAAATGTACTTAGCTATTTAATGAGGTTCTTAAGACATTTAGAACACCAATTTGTGAGGATAAATTCCATTCGTCAGGGCAAACACAGATC